CCAAAAGATTAAGGCCAAGTCTCCATCTTCCAATTCCAAGACTTAGAGTCAAGTCATTGATTCAAAAGTAAATTTGGACCACAATTTAGAGATTTAGAAAACCCTCAAATCACTCTACAAGTCGATTTAGAAAACCCTCGAATCACTCTGTGAGTCTTTCTTCCACAAACAGATTAATCACAATCTACTTCTATGTTAGTAGTTTCTTTTGTCGTCTTTATCATAAATTTTTATTGCATCAACAATAAATAACAATAATTTAATTATAATATGGAGCTCATCTGAAGTCTTACCTTTCATTCAGTAATTTATGTATAAGCATAACATTTTAAGAACCTTTTCAACCCAATCTAAGTACAATTACTCATTAAATATRATAGAGGTTGAGCTTGAACTCGAATTTGATTTATCTTCAATTATTGTTTCAAATCCATATTGATTAAGTTTGTGAACCGGTTGTCTTGAAAAGTCTGTGAACATTTGGAGAAAAAAACATTAAAAGTTTGGATCCTATCAATTTAAGAACTCCGAAAACCTCCAAAATTACTATACATGTATTTAGTTGGAAATTATTATTTTTGGACCACAAAGACTAATAAAAAGGATACTTATTTATCGTTATGTAACTACCCAATTGGAAATTTTGCACAATTAGACAAGAAAGAAAATCAAAAATCAAAAGAATTGTACAATTCAAAAATCTTTTATTTAGAAAGAAAATTATTCCACAAAATGATAGGTAAAGGTACATCAATGGCTTTGATCCTCCTGAGGTCAATCGGGTGATCCTGGATTTTGCGTTAGAGGTGGAGGGAGACACGGTCACTCCTTAACGGTCCTCTTCTTTTCTTTGGTCGACACCTCTTGCTTTTTCGGCTTGGATCTGCTCATTACATGGGAGCACAGTTGTTCTGGACCCAACTTCCATACAAACAGTTGGTCCCCCAACAATAAAAATTAGAAAAATACCAAAGTTCAAAATAAAAAAATAGTAATAATTGAAGTGATGATCACATCTGAAAATTCATTTTGAGAAAAACTTGGTATGAGAATACGAAAAAACCGAAAAAGTGAAAAAAGTTGGAATTCTTTATTAATGTTTTGTTGAAATTAGATTCATTAAGCGGATGATAAACTTGGTAGAGCGAAAAAAAAAAGATAAAATTAATAAAATACATTTTCTAAAAAAATGAAACTAATAAGCAATAAATGCACGTTAAGATGTTTCTGATAGTAACTTTTTTAAGATGAGTCGTCTAAAGTTTACACTTCTACATTTTATTCTATGACTTGGACATGGACACCATGACTTGCGTATTGAAAACNTAACTTTTTTAAGATGAGTCGTCTAAAGTTTACACTTCTACATTTTATTCTATGACTTGGACATGGACACCATGACTTGCGTATTGAAAACATTTCTTGGTCCAAAAATAATATCATTATTGAACCAAAATGCACGGTCATTGACGATCTACCTCCTAAGACAAAGATACTTTTTGACAGTTGTTGAATGATTTTGTGCAGAATAATTAAGTGTTCAGAATGATTAAGAGGCTCTCATGATATAGTGTAAAATGAAATATATTTGTTTGGTAATTGTTTACAATGAAATTAGGTCGTTGAATGGTTAAGGGTGCTCAGGATACAAAATTATTCAGAGGATTTTATAACCATTAAAAGACAGACTATTTTTTTGTCAAACAAGATTAACGTACTTAACGATTCAGAGGCTGTCAATTAATTGAACTATTAAGAGGTAAACAAACAACCCCAAAGTGGCAAGTAGTGATGACCAAAAATGGGTCATGGGTCAGGTCTGGTCCAAATCGATATTGGTCCCGAGTGGTTGAAGGGCAAGCCAATCCTAGCTAGTCTCAATGAAAAATGCTAGGACTGATTTTAGACCCGGCAACCGGTCCCAAATCTGGTACCGCCCCGCCCTAGTTATTTTTTAGGAATTATTGTTATAGAAGTATTTTTACACACAAACATTATACAAGTTATTATAATTATGATTTTTGAAATTGAAGGAATCTTAAGAATGGAGATTAAGAGCATATTCAACATATTTTGTAAAATTATGAGGGTATTCGCGCAATGCAGCGAGATACATTTAATTTTAATATTTCATTTTATTCTGTTTATGTAGATATAATATGGTTTTGAGAAAACGACAATGTTTTTAGTTTGAATAAAATATAAATTTGAAAATCTCGTAAAAATTTGAAAAAAAAAATATACATATATATATATATATCAATATTAGTATCAGATTAACTATTTTAAAAGTCTCGGTTTTTTTTGTGTAACTTTTTAAATTTAATTTTTTTATTATAATTTAATTTAGGTTTAATAATAAAGTAATTTATTTTTAATTTAATAATATAATTTTTTATAAAGATAATAATTAAGTATTCTGTTATAACTCAATAATTATCCTAATTATAATTCATTTTTTATATTTAAAAATATGATATTTATCATGTATTTGATTATTTTTATCTGCATTTTGTCACACGAGTTCAAACATAGAGTTTTAATAAGTTGTACGTATGCACAAATTATCTGTAATATTAAATTTTGAATAATATGCATCAATAAACAATATTTAATGCATAAAAAATATTTGTTAAAAGTTTTATCAAATGCTTTATGATATAATATAGATAAAGAAAATAGATATTTTAATCAATTTGGTTTGAAAAGATTATTAAAAAAATCTTAAAATTTCTAAAATTGAAAAATTATTTATTTATTATTTCACTAAATCAAATTGAATGTATTAATTGTTATTAGAAGCGTACTCGCGTAATGCAGCGATATACATCATGATTTTAATATTT